TTTATTTTCAACATATTGTTTTGTACATCTCATTGTTACTATGGGTCAACCTATATGCTTATTTAAGCATTTTGTTTTTTTCCCTTCCCCTCCCCGAATTAGAGAAGTGTATATACAAGATGCAGAGCACTGACATCAAATACAGTGAAAACAGGGGTTATACTGTGGGGGAGGAACATACAAAGCAACAACAAAATCACATGGTGCATTATAAATACGTTAAAAACAATAGCAAGAAAGAAAAAACCACTTGTGTCCCTATCTTGGAGTTCCTTTCACTTAACATCATCTTATATGGTCATTTGTACATAGCTTTTGGCCTTTTCTGCCTGTCTTACACATGTACTAATTATTGCAAATAATGGAAACCATGGGACCTATGTTTCTTTGGGCCTGACTTACTTCACTTAATATAATTTTTCCAAGTCTTTCCATTTCCTAACAAATGGGGCAATGTCATTCTTTCTGATGGAGGCATAGAATTCCATTGTGTATATATACCACATTTTCTTGATCCATTCATGAGGGGTATCTGGGTTGGTTCCATATCTTAGCTATGCTGCAATAAACATAGTTATGCTGGTAGTCTTAGTATGGCCTTGTTTGTGATCATTTGGATAAATGCCCTAAAGTGGGATTGCTGGGTCATAGGGGAGCTCTATGTGGAGTCTTTTGAGGAACCTCCATACTGCTTTTCCAAAGTGGTTGAACAAGTTTACACTCCCACCAACAATGTAGTTGAGTTCCCTTCTGGCCATATCTCCTCCAGCATCTGTTGTTTTCTTTTCTTTTTTTTTAAATTAATGTTTTTTATTGTGAAAATACCGGACAGAGGGGTTACAGTTACATGAGCAAGGTACTGAGTACATTTCCTATCAAGCATTGTTGCCTCCTCCTTTGTTTTCCCCTTCCCATCCCTGCCCTCCCATTTCCATCACTACACTCCCCCCACTCTGTGTTTTCTTGTATTGGAAAGGTTTACTCTTTAAATTGGCATTTACCTAGTATATCTGACTAATTTAAGAAAATGCCCTTTCTTCATGTTACTGTGGGCAAGGCAGGGTGGCAGTGTGTTATGTAGAACCTACAATCTCCTGTAAAGGACCCATTGGTAAATATTTCAGACTTTGTGGGTGAAGAGGCAAAGTAAAGGCTATAATATAGTATAGGTACTTCTATAACAAGAGAGAAAATGAAGCTTCCATAAACTGTTTATGGGCATATTTCAAAATAAAATAATACTCTATGTGTATGTCTCTTTGTGTGTGTTTATGTGTATGTGTGCCAGTAGTGGGACTTGAACAGGAACTTGAGCTTTCACTTGGCTTTTTTCTCCTCAAAGTTAGTGTTCTGTTACCTGAGCCACTCCTCTACTTCTGGATTTTTGTTGGTTAATTGGTGAGATTCTTGAGGATTTGAACCTTAGTCCTCAGATCTTAGCCTCCTGGGTAGTTGGGATTACTGGGGTGGGCCACCGGTGCCCAAATATGGCATCATAGATTCAAATACATTTTTATTTTAAAAATTCATTATTATATAGTTATACAAAGAGGTTACAATTCCATAAGTCAGGTCATGAGTATCATAGTCATAAGGTATCATGATCAATTTCACCCCTTCCATCATTCTCCAGACACTTTATAAAATTCTATGTACTAGTTAGTTACCATTCTATTTGGAGGTAATAGTTTTTTTTTAAGAAATTCAAAGTTAGTGTTCTCAATGGTCAAGCTGATTGTAAATGTTCACTTTTTTTCTTTTCTTTTTGTGCTGGTCCTGGCGCTTGAACTCAGGACCTGAGTTCTGTCCATGTGCTTGTCTCAAGCTACCACTTGAGCCACAGCTCCATTTCCATTGGAGATAAAAGTCTCATGGATTTTCCTGCCTGGGCTGGCTTTGAACCATGAGTAGCTAGGATTATAGACATGAACCATTGGTGCCAGGTGCAAACGTTCATCTTTAAAGACGATTTTTAGCTTGTGACGATTTTCAACCTAGGGGCTGGATTTGACCCATGGGCAGTGGTTCTCCAAATCCTGATGTAATTGAGAAAAATCATGAGCTTTAGAGCCAGGCACATATAGGTTTGCATACAGGTCCTGAGTGTATAACCTTGAATAGATCACTAAACTTTTTAGCTTGATGGGTTTGTTTTTGTATAAAATCTATGACTCTTACAAGATGGACTACATGTCATTTCTATCCCAGTGATTTTTTTTTAAAGATGGAGTCATGCTGTGTGGCTCAATGCCATGTGGCATGTCATTCACAGGTAACATTGGTGGTGGTCTGACTTGAAAAATGAACCTGATAGGCAAAGAAGCAGGAAGCCATTTGGCTCACAAGTGCAAGTTTTACAGGAAGGGAGCAAGCAATCCTGGAAGCTCTTTGGTGACTTGTTTATAATAAGAGATCATAAAGGGAGTGTTCAGGCTGGTATTTGAAGGTGCCCAGGTTAGAGCAGGACTTGAAGCAAGCAAAGTGAAGGGAGAATAGAAAACAGGAGTGCTCTTGGGAGAATTCTTCCAGCCTCTCCTAGTGAGAGTTTTTCGATGTTTTAAATCTTCCCAAGGAAACCTTTAAGAGAGAGAGGCTTATTCAAACCTTTGAACTGTTCTGAAAATTTATTACATGTAAGCTAGGAAAGAAATGATTGTTTCAGGCAAACAGAATGAGTGTGCACTGGTTACTCAGCACAGACACTTAATCTGACAGAATTAAGCAGAGAGAAGAAATTTTAGTGGTCATCAGCCTCTTTCCAGAACTTTGACTAGGTTCCTCCCAAATTGTCAGTGCATTTTGCTTATTTGTATCCAGCTACGCAGCAGTTTAGTGTACATCTGTAAGCTCGAAGGAGTTGATTTAATCCATTCCTTTTTTTTTCATCTCATGCCTTCCACCTGCGAAAACAAACCCTAGTCCATAGGTTCTTACTCTGTCTTAGAAATTTGCATCATGAGTACTCTAAGACAGGTCCTGCTGAGCATGTTACATGTTTGGAATTAAAGATGGATGGAATTACAATGCATATGCTATGAAACTAAGAAAATTGAGGGGAAGGGTTGGGAGGGAGGGAAGAGAATGAGGAAAGGGGGACATCCATCGGGATGAAATTGTACTTATGAACCGATTTGTTGAATGGTAATTCCTTTGTAATCTACTTAAAGATAATAAAAATAGAATCTAAAAAAGATGGGTGGAATTAAGGGTGGTCAGAATATTTTCCTTTTTTGTGTTGTTGTTGTTGGTTGTGGGGCTTGAACTCTGGGCCTGGGCGCTGTCCCTCAGCTCTTCAGCTCAAGGCAAATGCTTTACCACTTGAGCCACAGCACCACTTCCAGAATCTTTTATTTTTTATTTTGAGAAAAGCTGAGTGACTTAACTTTTTTGAAGGAGTAGTTCTATAAAATAACCTCCTGATATTTGAGTATCTGTGGTATATTGCCACCTCTTTTCTGTAGATATCATTAAAGCATTTCCATCCTAAAACTTTGTTTTTATAAGTAATTTAAATGTAAAACGCTTTTAAATAAAATTACGTAGGCATATAATATATTAAAAATTAACCTTGTTTTGGATTGAAAAGCTCCAGTCTGTTAAGGCTTCTAATTATTTTCACTTCTTTGAAGCTTAAATATTTCAGAAAGCTCTTCATATAGCTCTCAGAGGTTTGCTGTACAAGGAGCAATAAAAGTAACCTGTGGGCTTACCTCACTTAGGTATACATATACTTGGTTGCAAAGCAGTGATTGTAGTGGTATATGAGACCAAAGGTAAATAAAATGCTTTACTGTCAGATTAGAGTGTGTCTTAAAGCTATCCTAATAAATGTCTCACCAGCAATTTCAGTTGCCTATAGTAAAGAGCTTTCCAGTTCAATATAGTAGTTACAATAAAAGAATAACGAAAGGGCAAGTTGATAGAAAATTCATACCTTCTGAAATATAGTTGTTAAATTGTTTACATACTAAAGTTTAACATTTCTCCCCTCCTCTCCTCTCCTCTCCTCTCCTTTCCTTTCCTTTCTTTTTTTTTTTCTTTGAGACAAGTTCTCTATGTAGCCACAGCTGGCTTCGAACTCCTCATTCTCCTCCCTCTGTCTTCCCAGCGTTGAGATTACAGGCAGGTACCATCATTTCTGGCTTGTAATTTCTTGAAATCTGGAATTATTCTGAAAGAGAACTGTCTTATAACTGGAACTGCAGTAATGCTGTTGGTGGGATTTTTTCATGCATACGTTAGGATGTGTGAATTTATATATTCTCTATAAGAATCATAAAACTCAGGTACATTTTATTTTTGAGCATCAATTCCATTCAGTTGAATGGGAATTTATTGACTGTATCTTGGGTGGCCAATTTTGTGTTAGGAGGTGAATGGAAGTCACCTTGCCCTTGAATTTTAATGAGATGCAGAGATAAACCGATAACTATACTGTGGTAAATGCTGAAATAAACCTTACTTAAATTTGAAAAAATAAACCTCCATGATTCCCCATCACCTCAGTTGGAACAATTATTAACCCTTGGTTTTTCTTGTTTCCCACATATGCCTATTTATTTCCTTTCTAACATTTTATTTTGAAACATATCTATGATAATGTATCATGAAATAGACATTATAGGATTGAGGGTTCTTGAAAGACATTGGGAAAATGAAGTATATCCAGGATGTTGGAAAATTGCTATTGAGAAGGGGAGGAGGACGTTCTAGTTTTAGATGGTGGAATGAGAACCAACAGTTATTGCACCGTCTTGAAAGTACTTGCACATGCATTACTTTTTATGTTCATCTAAGATCTAATTACAATGGTTCTGGAATTTTTTTCTGAGAACTTTATCAGAATCATTCACATTCAATTTCAGTAAACCAAGATGATATACAAGTGGTGGTAATGACTAATCTGTTCTCTGTTCACTCTAGTAACTTTCTAGACTTTGAACATTTGAACCCAACCACTTGAAAGTCATTCTTCTTTGTAAGAAAAATAACAACCACTGTTGGTCATTTTTGTTTTTGTCTTTGAAGAAGGAGAATCATGCATCAGTTCTGAAATTATCATGAGTAGGTAGAATTTAATGATCTGAATGAAAAACCACCCTGTAAACTGGAGGAAAAAGAAACCAGTGTGTACATTTAGGTTCCCGAGGGAATTTCTGGTTAGCTACACCATGACATCTCCAAGGTTTCATCATATAGGTTTGGCTCATTTTCCTGTTATGAAATGGGGTTTCAGCATTGTTCTCTCGACTGTTTTCAGATCACAGAACTGTGTGGCGCGAAGCGAGTTGGTTATTTTGGTCCGACACAATTTTACATTGCTCTGAAATTGATTGCTGCAGCACAGTCTGGCCTCCCTGTGCGAATAGACAGTATTCAGTGTGGTAAGTATCTCACATTTTCTGTGCTTTATTGTTCATGACAGATTTCTTATTTATGAGGGCTGTTTTTAGTAGTTTAAGACTTGTTCTATTACCTTTTGTGGAATTTTTTTTCTAGTTTCTTCCAACTCCTCTGCACAATGAAGTAAGAAAACTTGGTGGGTGGCTTAGTTTTTTTTTATTTATTTTTTATTTGTGAACATACTGTACAGAGGGGTTACAATTACATGGGCAGGATAATGCGTACATTTCTTACCAAGCATTGCAGACTCCTCCTTTGGTTTACCCTTCACATCCCTTCCCAGCCCTTAGTTTTTTTTTTTTAATGGGGGAAAAATCAGAAGTTTTTCTTTAGCAGGATGATATTGGGAAAGAAATTCTAGAATCTGAGACAAAACAATAGCATTCATTTTAATTTTCCACTTCAGATAGCTGTGTTGTCGTTTACTGCTGTGTTAAGGATTAGTTCAGAGTAATGGGAGAATGGTAATTATGGGAGAATGAACTGTCCCTTTTCTCTCTCTTCTATCCCTTCCAGTTATAGCAGATGTCTTCCTTTTCCTCCTCTTCCTCCCCGCCCCCCCCACCTCCTCCTCGTCTTCTTTTCTTTTTCCTTTTTGTTGTGAGACTGGACTCAAACTTGGTACCTGACACTTTGCTCATTGGCTAGAGCTTTACCAATTGAACCAAGCCTCCAAACCCTCTCCCCTTGTCTTCCATACAAGGTCTCATTGTATAGCCCAGGCTGTATCAGAACTTGTAATTTTCAAGTCTCAGGCCCCCCAGTGCCAGGATTACAGAAATGTACAACTATACCTAGCTATGTACTTATTTAATTCTCAGTTCCTGAAGCACTCTTCTGGTCACCTAAGGGATACCAACATTTTGGAAGAATGAATCTTCTTATGAATATTCCAATTTTAACATTTTCTTGCCATCTCTGTTCCTGACCCTGCTATGTACTCAAGTATTTTCCCCAAATTAAACAAAAGGGAAAGCCCCCAACTGCCAGCCTCATTTCTGTTGCCTCAGCAGGAGTTTCACAGATCTGTATGAAGAAGTTAACGATTGTGTGAGTACACAAGGTCCTTGAATAATTCGATGTTAGCACATAGCTTTCATATGTCCACATACTATGCAGGCATGTGTTATTTTTCTTTTCCTCATTTTGAGATAATGACTCATCTGCAAAAAAAAAAGTGCAAAACAGAAACCAACTCATCTGCATACTTTTGTCCTCTGCAGGTTCTGGTAGACAGGTTCTGGCTATGGCAGACAAAGCCTTTGGAACTAACCATAGGGAGTCATAGTCATTATGCTAATCTTTATCAAGGGCTTAGAGTGGGCCAGACACTGTCTTCTTTAATCCTCATAGCATCTAACTAAATTAGGCATAATGCTTGTTGAACTTTGCATTAGGATAAAATATTGTCACACATCTCAGTGCCTCAGTTAGATATAGGTAGGTTTCTATCTACATTACCCTGGCCAGTCTTCGGCTTTTAGATTTAACTCTGCAGGGTAGCTGCCTTTCATGTGTTGGCTCTGTGATCTTGGGTATTTTACCTTACGACACCTCCAAAACAGCACCTGTTTTGACCAGGAAGGATGTGAGTTAAATTCTTTGGTCTGGATGTGACTTGTGTTATTGTGGCTTATAGTGTTTTCCAGAGCTTGTCACAGAAATGCATCTGCTTCACTACAGAGCAGACTGGGGGGAGCACAATCCTTTGGGGAATTGGTTATGAGTAAACACTGCAAGTTTCTACTATGGCACTGTTAGTATCTCTCTCGTACAATGGTGCAATTGAAGTTTAGGTAATTTGAGTCAACTTGCCTAAGGTCCTAGTGTCAGTAAAGTCTGGATTCAGGAGCTCTGCTTCTAGTTTTCATGTTCTTTATGTTTTGAAGGGGAGGTTGCAGTGCTGGGAATGAAATGTAGGGTCTTGCACATACTAGGCGAGTGCTCTACCACTGAGCTACGTCCCCAGCATTACTTTCTTGAGACAGGATCTCTTTTTATGTCCTACAGGCTGGCCTCAAACTCCCACGCCTGTGTCCATTTCTCCAGGTCTGGAATCACAGGTGTGCGACCACCATGCTCAGCTACTATGTGCTTAACTGCTATGCAAAATAGCCATTTCTCACTATCCTTACTATCCTTGTAGTAGATTCTGATAGAGATCTGTAATCATGGACTATTTCCCAAGTGAGACAAAAGTCAGGCCCCAAAGAGCTCCTTTGGTATTATAGAATTAAATTCTCTGAAAGAAATTACTATTTTGTTTTTTTTTTTCCCCCAAGACTGTTATTCTACTACATGGTCCACAGCTCCATTTCTTGAAATATCTTTCCTTCCTTCCTTCCTTTCTTCCTTTCTTTTTTTTGGGTGGGGGAGGCAGGGGTCGTGGGGCTTGAATTCTGGGCCTGGGTGCTGTCCCTGAGCTCTTTAGCTCAAGGCAAGTGCTCTATCACTTTGAGCCACAGCACCACTTCTGGTCTTTTGGTGGTTACTTGAGGATTAGATTCTCAAGGACTTTCCTGACCATGCTAGCTTTGAACCGAGATCCTCAGATCTCAGCCTCCTGAGTAGCTAGGATTACAGGCATGAACCACCAGGAACAGCTGAAGAATGCTTTCTTATTTGTGTTTTGCAAACACTGATGCTGCCTTTGGAGGTTTAAGGGTATCCAGAATTAATTCTGAATTATCTTCTTTCATTTAAAGATTTACTAAATAAAAATTATTTGCAATTACTATGTGTTAAGTAAGAATGAGAGCAAGATTGGCCCAAACTTTAAGCTGCTACTTGGTTGGTTATCATCTACTAGTTTAATATTTGATGCCACACACCTTGAAGTTCAATGAAGATGCTCTCTGAGGCCTAATGGGAAAGTCTGTGGAAATCTTGTGATCTATAGGGAGTCATATTCTGGGAGTTACAGATAGATACCTCCTTTTTTTTTTGCTAGTCCTGGGGCTTGAACTCAGGGCCTGGGTGCTATCTCTGAGCTTCTTTTGTTCAAGTCTAGTGCTGTACTACTTGAACCACAGCTCCACTTCTAACTTTTTGGTAGTTAATTGGAGACAAAAGTCTCATGGACATTCCTGCTGGGCCTGGCTTCCAACTGCAGTCCTCAGATCTTGATCCCTGAATAGCTAGAATTACAGGCATCAGCCACTGGCGCCTGGCAGGATACCCTTATTATTATTCTTTTTGCCGGTCTTGGGACTTGAGCTCAGGGCCTGGGCTCTGTCCCTGAGCCTTTCTGTGCTCAAGGCTAGTGCTCTACCACTTGAGCCAAGGTGCCACTTCTACAGATACCCTTACTTTATGAATGGCATGAGCCTATGTGTATATGCATGTTAGTCTCTATCCCTTAGTTTTTCTTATTGTAAATGCCAGCACTATCTCTTAATGCTCAGCTAAAAACCAGAAATATCCTGGGTTCCTTGCTTTCTCTAGTATAGTCCATCAAAAGTTCAGCTCAGTGCCTTTTGTTTCTATCTCTGTTCCTACTAGACTAGGCTACCTCTACCACTTGCCTGGATAACACAATGGTTTTGTCCTTGGTTCTCTGGTCTCCTCTCTTCTTTGCTCCTTTCTCATTTCCCAGATTGGACAGAGTGATCTTTTTGAAATAGACATCATATTATTTTCTTTTTTCCCTTAAAACCCTCCAGTGGTTTGCCTGTTGTATGTAGTCCCTAGTTCAGAATTCCTGTACCAGTCTGAAATATCATGCACAATCTAGCCCCTTCTATTTCACACCCTTATCTCAGATTTTGTCTCTTAGTATCATGGCCTTTTAGCTGCTTCTAGGTGATTTTCATGCTGTGAGCATATACTATGTCAAAGTGTTAGGTTTCCAGAGTTCTGGTCTTCCTCTCTCTTTCCCATGGCTGTTTTCCATACTTCAAGAATTAGAGCCTGTCCCTACCATCGTAAAGTAGGTTCTGTCAAATTCATTAGTGATGGACCCAGTCTGTGGTCAAGCTGCTTCTAGAAAGTATAGTGTCAGAAATGTTTATAAAAGTGCAGATAAAAATGCTGGAATGAGGTTGCTAAATTATGTATAAAACTGATGTTCTACATACAGGGCAATGAAAGTACAATTGGCTTTTGTACTCTTTTCTCAGATGAAATTCGTTTGCCTTGCTATCAAACAAAAGTACGTGTTAGTTAACAGTTTTATAAAAGTTAATATCTACCCTTTCGTAATTATAAAATGTCTAATCAAGAGTACATAGTTCTGGGTGTGGTGGTGCAGGACTGTCATTCTAGCATTCACAAGGCTGAGGCAGGAAGATTGTGAGGCCAGCCTGGGTTACATAGCCCAGCCCTGTCTCAAAGACCAAACCAAACCAAAACCCAACAGAATAGTAAGTCATAACAGAAGCACACAGTCTTAGGGGAGTTAGGTGTTCCCTGGGTGAGCCTGCTGGGTATTGGTTGTTCAAGGCACTCTCCTCTGTACTTTGCTCTCTCTCAGCATTTGTTTCCTTATAGCACTTATCAATCTGTAAATATTCCTTACAGGTTCAACTAATTTTTTGTCTGTCTTCCTCATTTGCCTGTAACCTTGCTTCAGAGGAAGGGAAGAGGATCTAGTAGCCTCTCTGTTATGGGGCATTATAGCTACTCAGTGTATGTTGGTGGAAGGAAGGCAGAAAGGGAGGGAGAGAGGGAGGGAAGATGGAAAGAAGGAAGGGAAGAAGGAAAGAGGGAAGGAGGGAGGGAAAGAAAAGCTGAATGTTTGTTCTCAGAGAAGGCATCTTAATAACTTGTCACTCTTTTTTTTGGTGGGAGGTCTGGTAGTGAGGCCTGAACTCTGGGCCTGGGCACTGTCCCTCAGCTCTTCAGCTCAGGGCTAGCGCTCTACCACTTGAGCCACAGCGCCACTTCCGGCTTTTTTCTTTTTGCTTATGTGGTGCTGAGGAATCGAACCCAGGGCCTCATGCAT